AAAATATACTCATCCATTAGTATGTTTAGGTCACATTTGGGAATGCAAATTTGAACTTGAGATATGTATTTCACAGACATGTATTATAAAACGAATATTAGAGATATGCTATTGGAATAAAAATATAAAATATAACAACCACCATGGATTTTGAAACATTTACATTCGACGAAGTAAATGTGCAAATTAATTATTTTTAATATGAGGAGAAAAACATACATACAGATATAGTGGGTATTCAAAATGGAATTTAATCTGAAACAGAATGACCTAACGATTGTTATTCAATTTTGCAGGTCATGAGGCTAAGTGAAAGCAACAATGGAAAGGGGAGAAAATGGTAAGCGGAGCAAGTCAGCGTCTGATCGAAACCATCGTCTCATATAACTATTGAATAAAACAGAGACTTATCTTCTCATAGAGATGTGATTTTCCTTTGTTGAATGATGGTGTTCTAGGACGGCCAAAAAAGAGTAATGGTTCTCTAGACTTTATACAAGTTCATTATAAAATCATTGAAATGCTTCTCTAGACTTTATACAAGTTCATTATAACATCATTGAATGCTTTTGTTTTGGGATTTCTTATGTTAACAGTCTTTTATGGAGAGGATGATATAATTCTTTCCGGAAATTTTTAATGCCTGCATTTCATTATACTTTTAAAAATATCTCCAGTTATATGCTTCCTATACTAACAAGCTCCTCTTTGATCACCCGCTTAGAGAAGTTTGTTGGCCTAGTATTTGGCATCAGAATACCATATATGCAATACATGTGTTATGTAGTCATCTTTTTCATTTATATTATTCCTTATTTTTCGAAGTTTTTCTTTTATCTGCTGGGTCTTCCCTTGTTGGCCCAGTATTTGGCATTAGAATGCATACAACATCAAGCTCCTCCTGGTATTTCCTGCTAGCACAATTGGTTTTCTGTCAGAAATTGACAATTGTTATTTGTTTATTTTTAATTTTTTAATTTTTATTTGTAATCCATTAATCTTACTTATAGTGAGATGAATTTTGTATCTTATAATAATTTCAATTATGATTATGATTACTATTATTTTTTTGTTATTTTAATTTAATTTAATTATTAAAAATAATTTATGATTGATAAAATATTTAATTATTTAAAATTAATTTTGACAACCTTAATTAAAATCTTGATTTTGACAACCTTGAATGTGGCAAAATTGTTGCCAATCTTGAAATGGGTCAGGAATGATGAGAAGAAATTTACAAATCTTGCCAAGAGAATAGATGGATTCTTGCAAAAGCTGATTGATGAGCATCGGATCAAGGAAGGAAACACCATGATAGATCATCTCCTTTCATTACAAAAATTAGAGCCCGATTACTATACGGATCAAATCATAAAAGGGCTTGCTTTGGTTCTTATATTTGCAGGAACTGATACATCTGCGATTACATTAGATTGGGCAATGTCTAATTTACTAAATCATCCTGATGTACTAAAGAAGGTTAGAGATGAGATAGACGCTCAAGTTGGCGATCAAAGGTTGATGGATGAAACGGATGTTCCGAGTCTCCATTACCTTCAAAATATTATATTGGAGACACTTAGATTGTATCCACCAACCCCTCTTCTTGTTCCACATTTCTCCTCCTCGGATTGTACTGTAGGTGGGTATGATGTGCCACGCGACACAATAGTCTTGGTCAATGCTTATGCTATACATAGGGACCTGAAATTATGGGACGACCCAACAAGTTTCAGACCGGAGAGATTTGACGAGGAAGAAAAGGAGAGCCACAGGCTGCTGCCATTCCGGTTAGGTAGAAGGTCTTGTCCTGGGCCAGAGTTGGCCCAGCGGATGGTG